TGGGTCAAAATTAGTTCTTCTTTGTTTTTTTTTTTTTNAAAAAAAAAAACAAAAAAAGAAAAAAAAAGACTCAGGCTAGCCTAAATTGGAGATTTTTTTCAGATTCTAGGCAAGTGGTTCTCAAAGTGTGGCCCAGGCCAGAGAGGTAGACTCACCTGGGAGGTTGTTACCAGTGCAAATTCTGGGGCCTCATCCCAGGCCTAAGAGAATGGTTATTTCTGAAATTGGGACCCAGGAATCACCAGCATCCCACTGATTCAGATGCCCGCTGAAGTTTGAGAACTGCTGCTCCATCAGTCTAGTGTGAGAACAGGTGCCTTGAATCGAATCATGCTATGAGCACAGAGAGCACATTTCGGCTTCCGGTACTGCAGTCTAGTCAGATTTAGCAAATGCAAGGTCACAGTTAATGGTTGGAACATAAAGTGGCTTGCGGTTTGGGGACACCGCTCCTTAGCCTTAGTTAATGGCGTCAGTAATGACTCGACTGCTTAGAATTCAATAATGGTGTCAACAAATTGGGTAGTTAGTAGCCAGTCTTCTGGGGAGCCACCTGAACATGGGCACAGCCCACGGGTAAGTACCCAACCGTGACAAAGGGCACCCTGGAGACAGACAACCAGATACTGTAGGCCACATTGTTTCTTGAACTGCGACAACCTTAATACTCCAGACAGATGTATGTTAGCACTTGAGTCACCCAATCTGTCTCCCCTCTGTTTTTCTGTGTCCTTTAATCTAACACCATCCGGGACTCTCGTTTTAAGTGCACGTCCACGTCTGCATTTTACAATAGTTCCTATAAAATTGTGGCAAGAATGTTCCATCTGAATGTGCTATTAAAGGGTAAGTGCTGCCGTCAGCACTTTTTTTTTTTTTTTTTTTTGAGATGTAGTCTCCCTCTGTGGCCCAGGTTGGATTGCAGTGGCACAATCTCAGCTCACTGCAACCTCTGCCTCCCAGATTCAAGCCATTCTCCTGTCTTAGCTTCCCTAGTAGTTGGGACTATAGGTGCACACTACCATGCCTGGCTAATGTTTGTATTTTTAGTAGAGTTGGGGTTTCACCAGGTGGCCAGGATGATCTTGAACTGACCTGAGGTGATCAACCCACCTCACCTCCCAAAATGCTGGGATTACAAGCCTAAGCCACTGCACCCAGTCTGTTTCGTTCTTTCTTGACCTTTCATTGACTTCTTTGTGAACCAGTCACCTTGGTCAAAAATCCCTAAGAATTTCAGACATGGACACTTACACATTATGATAGTTATAGTGTCTCTAAGTTATGAAGTGTTTCCCAGAGGAAAATAAATTCCTTAAAAGAAAAAAAAGGCCGGGCGCGGTGGCTCAAGCCTGTAATCCCAGCACTTTGGGAGGCCGAGGCGGGTGGATCACGAGGTCAAGAGAT